GAACTTCAAATCAAACGAGGTAAATGCAGACATTGTGTCAACATTGCATTATTAGTATATATTTATTTTATCTGTTCATGCATTCAAACCTATGATGTGAGCACAAGCACTCTTTCTGGTGTGTGTGCGTGTGTGTGCGTGTGTGCGCGTGTCGTGTGTGCGTGTGTGCGTGTGTGCGTGTGTGCGTGTGTGCGTGTGTGCGCGTGTGCGCGTGTGCGCGTGCGTGCGTGCGTGCGTGCGTGCGTGCACAGTGATGGTATGTATTTGTATTATGTGTGTGAGGTTTTGTTTCATGTTTCTTGGCTCTGGAGCTTGTAATATAAGTACAATAAAAGGCCAAAGGTCTTCTGGAGGTGAAGGACTGTCTTTATGAAATATGATAGTGTTGGTGTGTGTATGTGAGACATGGATGACAGGGTGTGATAGATTATGCAAAATTCATGTACAATCAGAAAGCTCCAGCTGGCCACAGAGTAATGGATTAAATTATTCAGCTGTTTTTCTCCTCTCTGACTCCAATGAAAAGCGGTCGGCACCTACACCCCTCAAAAGAGTATGACAGTGTGTGTGTGGGCGGGGGGGTGAGCTTTACGCACCTTTTTATGCACCTGCATTGCCAACCATTGTATTTTGAGAACACGACCCATGTGTGATATTTTCGCCCATTGTTTAAAGTTTTTGGGATGGGAGAAGTTAGAGGTCTGAGTAGGAGGTTGTGGTCTATCATTATAGGAATAGTTCACCCAAAAATTAAAATTTGCTGAAAATCTACTCAGGCAATCCAAGATGTATATGAGTTTGTTTCTTCATCAGAACAGATTTGGAGAAATTTATCCTCTGCAATTGATCCTCTGCAGTGAATGGGTGCCGTCAGAATGAGAGTCCAAACAGCTGATAAAAACATCGTAATCCACACAAATCCTTCATTAAGACATTTTTAACTTCAAACCATAATTTCTAGACACAATACCAGAGTCCATAGGGTCCTTAATCTATAATAATGCTTTCTAAAATAAAAAAGTCCTCTCGCATCAAAATCCACTGCAGAGGATCCATTGGTGATCAAGTGATGTAATGCTAAATTTCTCCAGATCTGTTCTGATGAAGAAGCTCATGTAAGCCTCGGATGGCCTGAGGGTGAGTACATTTTCAGCACTGGAAAAAAATCTAAATAAATCATTCAGCCTCACTAATCAACTAATTGTATGGCTAGATGACTATCCGTGACACGTATCTAATTTTATTAAAGTTTAAGTTTAATTGTAGGGATAAGTCAGTTTTTTTTATATGCATAAATGTACAAAAGCTTCGTAATAATAGCTCTCCTGGAACTTTTTTTCTGCAGGTGTACAGTTATTAAAGGAAATATAAATATTTCCACTTGTTTGCAGGTTACACAGGAGATTTCAGATCCAAGCAGAGTGTTCAGACTCCTGGGATCAGACAGGTTAGAACCAGATCAAATCATTTCTGTCTCGCTCTTGCCTTACATCATCACCCTTTTGCTGAGATGGTCCTCACTGCAGAACACAAGATCCAGGGGGCATGGTTGGATCCAGATCCAACTCCTCCCACCTTACATATACCTAAACCTACCCGTCTCCACCCCCTGATTCCTAAACCCACCCATCTCCACCCCTAAACCTACCAATCTCCACCCCCTAGATGTGGATCCAACCATGCCCCCTGGATCTTGTGTTCTGCAGTGAGGGGCTAATGCTTTTACTTCTATTTCTTCTGTCTCCTGGAAACATTACTCTCTGCCGCCATGTCTTCCCAGAAACTCTGCATGTAGCCTTTTTACTTTCACACATGCAGTGGACAGAAATAGAGACATGAGGAGGAAAAAAGCCAACAGGGAGAATGTAGTGTCTCTGCTGGGTTTGTTTCTATAGCGAGGGAAGCCCTGGGTTAGGTTTATGTGGGGGACCTGAGCTCTGTGTGACGTACGGGGTTAAATTAGGTCTGTCAATTTAACACCCAAGCTCATTGATGAGGTTTTGCTCTGCTGTCTCAGTTAGTTAGACTTGTAGTTTCCTGCCAGCATTTTTACTGGTCCCAATTACAAGGGGGTTGGTATGTTTTTTAACAGTTTTGAAAGAGGAATTTTATGCTCACCAAGATAATATTTTTAAAAAAAAATAATAATAATATTGTGAAATATTATTACAATTTAAAATAACAATCAAATAACAATTAAAAATAATAATGTAATTTACTGCTAAGGTCAAAGCTACATTTTCAGCAGCCATTATTCCAAATTTCATGAAATTATTCTAATATGCTAATTTGGTGCTCAGGAGACATTTATTATTATTGTCATCAATGCAACTTAACATTTTTTGTGAAAACAGTTTTTTTTTTTTTTTTTTTTTCAGGAATTTGTGTGTTTGGTTGGTTGTTGTTATTTTTTTATGATGAATAAACAATTTTAAAGAACCGCCTTTATTTCAAATCTAAATCTTTTGTAAGCTTGTAAATGTCTTTCACATATAATTTAATGCACCCTTGCTGAATAAAATATTACGTTATTTTTTTTAAGTCTTTCTGATACCAAAATTTTGAACGGTAGTCTGTATTTTTGCCCACTATTAATTTTTCTTCATTGGCAAAAACAAATGATTAAGCTGTTTTAGTTTGCAAGACATAACAAATAATGTACAAGATCAAATGTAGGAAAGAGCAGTCCGGGCTTTTAGGGTTGTCATTAATTAAATAAATTATAAATGAATAAAATGCAATTAAAAAAAAATACTGGTACCGTTACAAAAAAAAACAGACACTTCTTACATTCAGAAACCGCTAGAACCGAGCACATTTATATGTAAATAAAACAAGCATTATATTGACATCACTTTTCTGAAGCCACATTTTAATGTATATTCAATGCTTTACTTGTCTGACGTGTGCGTGTGTCTGTGTGTTTTGGCCACAGAAACATATCTGTGTCACCATACATTGATGCCGCATACACAATGGCCCTGCACCACACCAAGACCCTCTTTAGCACATGCTGTCTCTCTCTTTCACTCTCCCTATGAGATCTCCATATTTTATTTACACTGGCAGTGCCAGGCTGGTGTCTCAGTGCTGTAATTTCATCTGTCGCCTGCGGCTGAGGACACGACCAGCCTCCCGCTTGCACCAACCTCACACAACCCCTCTACATTTGCATAATCATGGCTTTCTTCCACACTTTCACACTCATCTCCTCTGTATGGTACATGTTGATTTTGATAAGTGTTTGTGTATTAATATTTGTGTGCGTTTTAGGGTTGTTGTTTTGGAGAGCCGGCCTACAGATAACCCTACCGCTCTCAGTAACCTCTACATCCTGGCTGGACATGAGAACAGTTATTAGCTCTGCCTCCTTCAGCCGTTCAGGCCCGCAGTACCTGGAGCCGTTGCAGTACCCATGATGCATTCATTCCGGAACGGCACCGATGCTGGACAACCACAGCTGAGCTGATGAGCAGACTGTGTTTAGTGCTAAATCTCACTGCAGCCTTATGCCGTACGCTGCCCACCGCCAGAGACAGCCAGACTTCTCGCCACTTCAGGCATCCAGAATCAAACATCATGCAGTTCTACAGCAGCCAGTCAGATTTTTGTAAATCAAGCAAGCAATCGCCTGAACTGCAAGCAATAGTGCTCTGTGTTAAATACCTGTTTTTTTTAAACCCTATTAAATATTGTAATCATTCTAAACATTTAAAAATCATTAAAGCTGCAAAGATAGAACATTGAGCAAAATGCATTTCTGCTCAAAAAGTGCCATATAAGGGAACGGTTTTATTAAACGTAATTAACTTCGGAGGTTTTGTGTTAATTGTAGATTAAAAATGTCAGGTTTTCATGCCGGCTAATGGGGAGAGTTTTGGGAGAATGAGTGAGTGTTATTTATTCAGCCGAGTCATGTGAGTGAAGCATCTCGCCCTCATGTTACTGAGTGAATATTTTTCTGCTGCAGGTCATTTTCTCTCGTTTGTTGTAGCTCTTATATTTTTCCCAGCCGAGTAATATTTTAAAATTTCAGTTATCTCTTTTTAAAAGTAACTTTAATTCAATACTTGCACCATGTAAGCACTTTTGTACATGTTCTTTTTGTATTTAAAAATGACAAAACATGGGAGATGTGAGGTTACTGTGATATCTCAAGTGTTTCCGTTGCTTTAGTTTTAATGTATGCAGCAGCTTTTGTAATAAAAAGGCCATTGTTAACTCTTTGGGATGTTTGTCAAAGTAATTTCAGATTTAAAAAAAAATACACTGAAATATAATGAAAATCTCTCAAAACCAACATATTTGGACATGCTCACAATGAAAGAGAGTCCGTTCATGGACCAAACATATTGGAGTAGTGTTGTATTTTTGTTGTAATTGTATAGTGTACTGTAATAAAAAGGCCATTGTTAACTCTTTGGGATGTTTGTCAAAGTAATTTCAGATTTAAAAAAAAAATACACTGAAATATAATGAAAATCTCTCAAAACCAACATATTTGGACATGCTCACAATGAAAGAGAGTCCGTTCATGGACCAAACATATTGGAGTAGTGTTGTATTTTTGTTGTAATTGTATAGTGTAATTGTACTAATTATTACAAGTTTGTAGTGTGCTGTGTGATCAACGGAGGGACTTCTTTGTTGTTTTTTAGACTTTATTTAATAAGAAATAACATTCTCTGGTAGATTTATATGCGAGAAAGCGTGATTAACATTAGTCTTCTTTTCGTGAGCGTGAAGTGTTGTGTATGTGTGTACAGGTGAAAAAAACTGCGTGGCATTTGGTTTATGTCATCGGATGCAGGGATGTACAGTCCCACTGCTCTGGTATCGTAAACGGCTGATCTGAGGTCAGATCAAGCGGATAGTTTCACGCTTGCAGTCAATTGCTGTGCAGATTGAAGCGCGCGCGGAGCGGAGGCGGAGTCTCGGCTCGGTTTCTATGGCGACCGGCCGCTTGTAAACAGCGTGTTTTCTTCTCCATGCGAACTCAAACACGGTGCGCGGACACACGGCTCTATCTGTCCGCCAGATTCACACGACAACACACAGCTCCGGTTATTTGACTAATTTAGATCTCAGGAAGTTGCTATTTGTGCTATTTTGCTTTATCATAAAGCTAATATTTGGACGAGACATTGGAAGGTAAGCTGTATATCTAACTCTCTATGCTCGCTATATATTTTTAGATGACATGAGTATGTTTTCATTTGACAATTTTAAGGTTGAACACTAAACTGCACACAGTTTAGTACACTAGGAGCAGTACGTTAGACTTGACTAGAAATGATCTATTCTACCACAGTCATGTTATATAACGGCAATGCCTTCCTTTCAACGCCTCAAATTAATTGCCATCTAAGTTAAAAGAATTGAATTAAGAAATAAAGTGTAGTGACCTGTAGATAATATGTAAATAAAAAAAATAATGTGAGGAATAAAGTTTGGTGTCCTAGTGGGGTCAAATGTGAACTTTTAGGAGCCCACAACAATTTCTAAATGTTCAAACAATTTTCAAATTCTAACGTACATTTTTAAAAAAAGGTAAGAGTCCCTGAACAATATACGTTACAGTAAGAATTTTTGGTAATACTTTATTTTACAGTGTCCTTGTTACATGTACTTACTATAGTAGTCATTCTTTGTGTAATTACGCTGTAACAGGGAATAAAGGTCAAATAAAATATAATAGCATTTTTTTATCTTCAGCCATGTACAGTATGTGTCATATGTTACAAACAACATATTTGGCTCTATTTTTTTCACATTTCAATCAAAATCAAGGTGAGGCAGTTTGGTAAGTGTTTTCTGCTGGTGTCACAGAGATGGAGAAGTATGAGAAGATCAGTAAGATCGGCGAAGGCTCGTACGGCGTGGTGTTCAAGTGCAGGAGTAAAGACACCGGACAGATCGTTGCCATCAAGAAGTTTGTGGAGTCTGAGGATGATCCCATCATTAAGAAAATAGCTCTCAGAGAAATCCGCATGCTGAAGGTAACCCCTGATGATATAATCCCAGTTTAAGCCAGCCTAAAATGGTTTGTTGATCTTAACTTGTTAAAGATGGTTCCCCATCCTGGACAAGCTGGCTCTGTAGGATGGTCAGGTATAAAGTGTCTAGAATCAGCCAACAGACTGCAAGACCAGCAAAGCAGTTTAAGATGTTGTTTCAGGAGGAAGTCTTCTTGATTTTGTTTTGCTACTGTCATCATTTGTAGACTTGAAGAATAGTATTAGTAGTATTTTTTGTCTCATTAGTGGACGCGTGGCGACAGAATGTTTTAATAATCAGTGTCTGGAGCTCTTGTGATTTGCAAACACTTTCCTTTGAGCTGAGAGCAAAGCAGTGGCACTTTGAAGATCTGACATGTCAGCCAACACTGGCTCACCAATTCATTTCACTCTGCTATGCATGAATGGATGGATGAACATTCTTCTTGTTCCCTTCCCCTCCCCTTTTTTTTCTGGTCAGAATGTTACTGTACCAGACTTTAGTTCATTTATTTGATTCTGGGCTGTAAGAATATTCTGTGATCATGTTTCAAAAAAAATTTGTCTATTCGACTATTTTGTCTTTAAAGGAAGTTCCAGTTTATTCAAATCTCTAAACGTCTGAACTCTTGCAGTTGAAGATGGTTCTAGGATTTATTCTGGGGTGGATGCTGATCTGTTTCTGTTATATGGAGCCGTGTTATTTTCGTATTGTTTATATAGGCCTACTATTACGATATCTGTTATTTTCAATTACCTTTTTTTTTAGGTTTTCATTTTAATTTTAGTAATTTGTTATGTGCTCTTGTCATTTTTATTAATAAATTCATCATTTTATTTTGTATTGTTGATAATAAAATGGTTAATAAAATAAAATGATTAATTCATTAATAAAAACGAAAACTAAAATAAAAATCAAGTTTAATGGAAATATTTAAAATAAATACAAATATGTCCATTAAGTTTGCTTTTTATTTTAGTTTTAGTAATTTTAGTACTTCAACTAATTTATTTCAGTTAGTTGCCAAGGCAACATTTCCGTCTAATAAAGTTTTCTAATATTTATATTTTATTTTATTTGAGCTTTATTTCAATTATCAAATTTTTTTTAAGTTTTAGTTAATATCAACAGTGATATGGGGTGTATGAAACACATTTGATAAGACTTAAGGCTGCTTATCTTATTAAACATTTGTGTAAACACTTGAATGCTAAATCAAATGTATACATAAAAAGTGGGCTCAGAAGTCTCAGACTGCATTGAAAATATGGAAGTTTTATCATGTAAAACCTGTAAATAAAGTTTTAGGATTTTAATGATGCAAAATGAATAATAAATATTTAAGATTCTGCAGTATTTGCTCACTATAAAAATAAGTAAATTTGTGACATCGGCCATGTGAACTCCTCTGAACAGATGATCAGACATTCTTCCTTTCGTTAAAGCACAAAATGCTTCTTAAAACTTCTCAAACAATACTGGAAAACATGATTATTAGGTTTTACACAAACTTGCAGCACTCAAACTAAATAGTAAGTGTTCTTAGACTATTTTGGATATATTTTCACACATACAAATCCTAATTTGTTCATTAAATTGTGTGTATTTAGCAACTGAAACATCCAAACCTGGTGAATCTGATCGAGGTGTACAGAAGAAAGAGAAAACTGCACCTGGTGTTTGAGTACTGCGACCACACCGTCCTAAATGAGCTGGACAGATACCCAAGAGGGTGAGAACACACACACATGCAGACACACCTATAAAACAGCTCTGTGTTTCTCACACTAACACACATATTGTGTTTTTGTTGCTATGACGCCCAGCATGTCTTTGGTGGAATGTTTACAGCAGGATGCATTTGTCCTCTGTGATGCACTTGAGGGAGACGCAGTTAAACATTTAACAACATTTAACTCTTTATGTGTCGTCCTCTTGATTTACAAGTCAAGAATCAATAAAGCTCACACAATAGAACACTCATACATGCACATACACACTATATCATCAGAACCTATAGGGTTAGTGTGGAGTTCAGTAGGAGCAGAAAGTAGAAAATGAGGTTTGTGTTCCGGTAACTGCGTTGTAACACTTTTTGTGTGTATGTGTTTGTGTGTGTTCACTCAGCGTTCCAGAGCACATGGTTAAAAGCATCATCTGGCAAACACTTCAGGCTGTGAACTTCTGCCACAAACAAAATGTAAGAATTACAAAGTTGTTGCTGCTCTCTCCCACACTATTACCTTCTTAACAGGATTATTTTCTCAGATTTAATGCCTCTGCCCAGATTAAAGAGTTAAAAAGTACCCCCTTTCTAAAATATAAAGGCAGCTGCTTTTATACTGCTAGAAAAATATTTTGTGATATTAAATACATTAAGAACAGTATTATTTTAGTACCATAATAATTGTACAGTATTTTTACAGTATTTATTGATATTTTGAATCAGTTTCCATTCGTATATTTAAATTTTTGAGTAAGTTTTAGTAACTACTAAACTAGTAGTTTTTGTTATTTGTCTATATAGATCTTATTATTTATTTATTTTTTCAGTTATTTCAGTACATTAAGTTAAACGTATTTAAAATAAGAAAAAAATGAGTTGTTGGCCTGGCAACATTTAAACTTAAATCTTTCTTAATTACTATTAAAAAATATTAAATTTAAATTAATAATAAATTATAACATTTTTTATGGTTTTAGTTTTCATTTTAGTTGACTTTAATAACTCTGATAAAAAAAATTGTGACTGTACTAAAGCTATCTTAAACTAACATGTTAACACTGACATTTTGTAATTTTACTTTTAAATTGCTCACAGGCCACCTAGAACCCCTAATTTAAAAGATTATATTATATTTTATTTTATTTTACAATCACAAGTTTAGAAATAAATGTAATACCAAATTTCCACACCACCAATTCCACAAATTGGATCTGCCATCTATTTTAGTAAATCCACAATATCATGTTTTGGCCTGTATACATTTCATAAACAGTCCAGAATTGGATCCAGCACCTATTTTAGTGGATCCACTACCTCATAACTCTATGAAAGAAGTGTCAGTGAGTCATTGTAATCTTAGTAAAGCATCTTAAAATTGTTTTTAAATCAGATGTTTTAGGAGACTCTCCGAGTGATTTAAAAATGTGTTTTTAGTGTATCCACAGAGATGTGAAGCCTGAAAATATTCTCATCACCAAACATCAGGTCATCAAACTCTGTGACTTTGGCTTTGCCAGGAACCTCAGTGCGTGTACACACATAATCCATACACACACACACACACACACACACACACACTCCCCACCTTCAGCTTTCCATTCATCTAATAGCTCACTTTTTTTCCAGCGGGTCCATGTGATTATTACACGGATTATGTAGCGACGCGGTGGTACCGAGCTCCAGAACTGCTAGTAGGAGACACGCAGTACGGCCCGCCAGTGGACGTCTGGGCAGTAGGCTGTGTGTTTGCAGAGCTGCTCTCTGGTGCCCCTTTATGGCCAGGCAAATCCGATGTAGACCAGCTGTATCTGATCAGGAAAACTCTGGGTAAGAAACACACATAACTCCAGCTGTTCATATGATTTGTGAATGGATGCATGTGATGAATAGAGTTTATTTGTGTGTTGTTGTGTTCATAGGCGAGTTGATTCCTCGACACCAGCAGGTGTTCAGCACTAACCAGTTCTTCAGCGGAGTTTGTGTCCCTGAACCACAAGAGGTGGTGAGATGATCATTAAGTTTTGATTCTGCATAAGTTTATTTCTGTAGACCTATTCGCACTCGATATGTGTCTGATCTACAGGAGCCTCTTGAACTGAAGTACCCAATTATCTCGTACCAGGCGCTGAGCCTCATGAAGGTCAGTTAAACACACAAACCAATCATACAGAAGTCCGCTGCTCACTCAGAACCAGTACCAGCATGTCTGTCTGTCTGTTACCTGTCTTTCTCAGGGTTGTCTGCGGATGGACCCGGCTGAGAGGTTGTCCTGTGAGCAGTTACTGGAGCTGCCATACTTTGACAGTCTGAGAGAAGAGAGCGAGAGTGTGACACGTGAACTGGACCGCAAGAGACGCACGCGCCAGCCACGCAAACACCTGCCTCCTGGGGTCTGTAGCCACAACTACAACACTCACACCTAGGGCTGGCCCGTGTGACCTTTATTGAATGTGAAGCTGTGGAGTTCAGTAGTTATCAATTATTCCAGTAGATCAGGGCACCAGACTGCGACCAAATAGTCGCATTTTGCGACCATTTTTTCTGCCGGTGCAACTAATTTTTGTGAGCGGTTGCACTGGCGCGACCACCGCATTGTCCAACTCATAAGCGCTGCCATTTCTTTTGCATTTGAGAAACATCAAACGGCAAACAAAATGAAAGCGAAACTAAACCACGCTACGTTTCAGCTGCGCATCTTGATGCAAACAAACTTGTCCGAGCTCAGAACAGCTTTACTCGGGAGCCAAAGTTGATTTTGCGACACTGTTGTTTCTGCACAGATGCAACAGTGCTGTGAGATCCAGTGAGAAGCGTTTGAATTCGCCGCACAATGATAAGGTTGCTGCGAGATAGTGAGAATCATTCAAATTCTGCACAGAATTCTCTGTTATAAACAGCGCTGACATACGTCAGGAAACCAGAAGCGGTAACACTAACTGTAACCATGGTGTTGTTTTTAGAAATAGTCGAATGCATTACATCATTCATTTCAGGGTTTGTACAACCTTTTGAGAGAGAAATTCAAGCACTTATCAATGACTTTTTAGCATTTCACACAATTATTTCCAGCACTTTAAAGCTATAAAATGATCCAGTTTGAATGTTATTTTTAATGGGATGACCAAAATATACTTTGTGGTAAACAAACACTTATGTAAAGTTAAAAAAAATAAAAACATCAAATCACAATTATAACCAGTAGACGGCAGCAGAGGAGCACTTATTGGCTTATTAGTCATTCATTTCTACTTTTTCTCTATATTTTGAAATGATAAAATCACTATTATAAAATTATAAAATCATCAAGAAATCAGATTTTGTCAGAATTTTACACTTTTTTTGTGTATGAAGTAAGAAAAAGTCACGAAGTGCCTTGAAAAACTTTTCTTCAATTTGCAACTAAATCACACATAATCACTGAAGTTGGTCAGTTCCATATACTAGAAGAATAATGGTACATTTAATAAGAGTGGAA